TGGGAAGCACCTCTTCTAGTCTCAGAGTTTCTCTTTAAAAATAGTTGTTGTTTTGTTTTGTTTTTAACAAAAAATTGATTAATAAGAACTCTTTGACAACAGGATATTAACCGTGCAGAGGTTTAGGTTTTTTTCCCACCTTGGTAGGTCACTTGTCTCTTAACCTTGCTCATGGTGTTTTTAGTACCACACATGGTCTAATGGTACCATCTTTTTTTCCTGCCCCACACATTGGCTTTGCAGTTATCTTCTAGTGATGGAAAACTCAAAGAAACCAATCTGCCTGTTTCTCCCAGTGAGGAATGTTCTTGATGCCTTAAATTCTGCCTAGAACGTAGAGCCAATACCGATCCTATGGCTGCTCCCACAACCCATCCCTGCAAACCTCTCTGCTGCTCATCCCAAAGACAGTGGTCATGCAGGATCCCAGTGAAGTTGGAGCAGTTTGGGGGTTGTACCAAAGCTAAATGGGACTGGAGGCTATGAGCTGCACAGGACCCTGGGTCTGGCCACCTCCTTTCTCATCTTGCACAGGAGGCAAAGCTCAGGACATTCAAGGATATCTCAAGAGAGGCCTCAATTGCCTCCTGATTCTACCACTTGTATTTCCTGCCTCTCCCTTTCCCCCCAACTTCACATTGGGAGGCTCGTTTTCCTGTCTCTCCTTCATTCTTTCATTCAAAACACATTTACCGAGCTCCTGAGTACTGACCCAAGAGAAAAAGACAGAAAAATCTATGCTTTCGTGGGACTTATTCCATCAGGGACAAGAAACAGTAAATGTAATAACAGACATACTTTCTGAGTGCCTGTGTGTCACCCGACTAAGGCACATAAAGCTTAATGAACTCGCCCAAGGTCACAGCTGGTAAGGATCCCAACCCAGGTGAGTGGCCAGAGATCATGCTCTTCACCACCAATCCATGCTGCCATATGGGAGTAGGGCTAAGTTCCTTTTGGTTCTGAGTTCTGTTCTCTTTGCATTGAGCTCCCCCATCGAATCGGCTCTCCAGTCTTGGGTTTAGCTTGCAGACAATTGGCCTGGAACCTGAGTCCCTAGCCCATGGTACAGTTCACAATTCTCTGGTGATTGGGGATTCCTTCCCAGCTCCAGTTTGCAGTCCGCATTTACTCGTCTGCTGGGTTAGTCCAGGCTGAGAATTGCTGCTGGTGTGCATGGCCTTCTCTTGGCCAGTGGCAGTAACTTTTCCTGGGGATTGCTGGTATGTTGAGGCACACAGATTTATCTCACTTTATATAGATAAAGGCTATTGCTAAGAGGGATCTCCAAAGCCAGAAAGCCACAAAAATTGGTGGGCATGGGTTAAGAACCTAAGACATATCACCACCACACCCAAAGACTCCTGTGTTAGGATAAGTTGGTCATGGAACAGATGAAACTGACACCACATCGCACACCAGCCTCACAAGAATTTCCATGAAACAGGGTACACTATAAAAACACTATAAAACACCAACCCAGCAGTACATCCCTAAAAGTATTAGTTGGCCCCGAGAAACTCAAATGCTTAGCCAAAAAGATCCTTAAACTCTAAAGAGTAAAATGCTCCACTTTCTGGCACACTTGCTCATTTTATGTCTAAGAACTAGAGTCCTGGAAGCTTTAAGTTTCTACAAAAATGGCAAAATCTTGCTATGCTCATTTTGTACTCTGAGAACTTATCCTGGTAACCATCAGGTTGGGGGCCCCAAGCTATGACCAGATTGAAATGCGGGTTGTACCTCATTTTCAGCTAAGATCCTAGCAAACTGCTGCTAGCCCTTGGGGGGAAATTACAATGGTCATCATGAGGAATGTTCCAGTTAGATAAGATCATTTAAGAAGTGGACTTAAAAGTCCCCAAATTAAACAAACAGAATGGGATACATATTTTAATGGTTATACAAATCCTCCAAAATTCCAAAATAGCTTTATTGAAAGATGTGTTGCAAAAACTTAATGAAAAATTGGGGGCTCCTGGGTGGCTCAGTTGGTTAAGTGTCTGATTTTTTTTAAAAAAGATTTTATTTATTCATGAGAGACAGGCAGAGACATAGGCAGAGGGAGAAGCAGGTTCCCACCAAGGAACCCGATGTGGGACTTGATCTTGGACCCCAGGATCCCCCTGAGCTGAAGGCAGACACTCAACCACTGAGCCACCCAGGCGTCCCGAGCGTCTGATTCTGATTTTAGCTCAGGTTATGATCCACTCCTGTGCATGGAGCCTGCTTGAGACTCTCTCTCCCTCTGCCCCTACCTGCATCCCCCCCAACTCATGCACGCTCTCTCCCTCTAAAATAAAACCTTTTAAAAAGTTAATGAAAAATTAAAGACGACATAGGAAAATCTTAAAAAAAAAAAAAAAGGTGGGGGTATCCCTGCGTGGTTCAGCGGTTTAGTGCCTGCCTTTGGCCCAGGGCGTGATCCTGGAGACACTGGATTGAGTCCCGTGTCGGGCTCCCTGCATGGAGCCTGCTTCTCCCTCTGCCTGTGTCTCTGCCTCTCTCTCTCTCATTCTATGTGACTATCATAAATAAATAAAAAAATTAAAAAAAAAAAAAAAGAGAACCAGTTAAGAGGCACCTGGGTGGCTCAGTCAGCTAAGTGTCTGGCTTGGGCTCAGGTCATGATCCTAGGATCCTGGGATCCAACTCCAAGTCCCGCTCCTTGCTCAGCAGGGAGTCTGCTTCTCCCTCTCCTTTGGCCCCTCCCCTGGATCATGCTTGCTCGCTCTCTCAAATAAATAAATAAAATGTCAAAAAAAAAAAAAGAACCCATTAAGAAATGATTCAAAGATCCCAACTCCTGCTGCTATTAAGATGGGCATCTTCCCACAGGCTGAGAATGGCTGGCTTTATGGGTTATTTCCAGATTTGGAGTCTTACTCTGGCTCCTTGCCCACCAACGCCCTACCAGCTGCCTCCTTGAACAGCCTGTCTGTATTCAGGGAGATAAAATTATTTTTGAAATGGATCAATTCAATTGATGAAGAGGTTCAGGGTAGGGGGTGGGGAGGTAGGAGAGTTGAACAGTTTCAGCCACCTTCTGGCCAGCCCCAGCCAGACTCTCTGGAGTGGTAATAGGGATTTTCTAGAGAAGGAAATTGAGAAGAGACATTTTTTTTTCAAACAGAAATTGTGCCAGGCTTTTTCCTGACAATTGCAAAGACTTAGGGGGCAGTCCACTGGTTTGAGTGATTTACCCCTTGAGTCCTTACCCAGCCTCAGAGCTGAGCTGTTTTCTCTGCTGGAATGCCCACAGATCTGGACCTGGCTGTGGCGAGACAGACCATAAAGCCTCTTGTCTGAGCCTCATTCTGAGGCGGGGAGAAGGATAAGGCCTGAACACAGCCAAGTTTCAGAAGCAATCGAATATGGCACTGCAGTCGTCCTGGGCTCAGCCCTGTGGGCCCCTGAGCTGGCCTGAGGAGAGGGCGGGAAGTTGTCTTGGGCTGAGACTCCAGCAGGAGGACTGGAGTCCAAGTGCTTTGTTTGGGATGTGACCCCAGGGGGCACCAGCCAGGAATGAAAGATGAGGTGGGGAAAGACACAGCCAAGAAAGGGCCCATTCATGGGTTGGCTCTGTGGCCAGCTGAGGCTTGATCTCAATAGCCCTGTCCCTTCCCCAAGGGTAGGAGTTTCTCTCCGAGCCCTGGAAGGTTTGGCATTCCAACCTTAGGGGGAAAGGTGTTCTTCCTCCCACCCTCCCCCATCCATAGGGATTGTCATGCTCTGGTGGTTTAAGGGTTTACCACCCTACCCCCAGCAATGTGAGGCTTTTGCTCCCCGGGGGGAGCAGGAGTGTGGGGCTGTAGCTCCTTCCCTATTTCTTCTCCGCGATGGAAGTTTTCTTCAGGGTTTCTGCCTGCCGGGTCTTTCTCAGTGGAGCACCCAGCAGGCCTGCTGCTTCAGCTTTTAGGGGTTCAAGAAAAGGTAATTTTCCTGTATATTTTATATTCATTTTAAAAATTATTTTTTGTATGTTGTCTGGATTTTTCTCGTTGCAGGTTGGGAGTGATAATGCTAGCAGCCCTTCCTGTTGATAGGCACACAAGTGGTCTATAAAATGTGGAGGGTGCCCCTGGACACCTCAAGACTACTGGGGTGGGGGCAGCCTGGGTGGCTCGGCGGTTTAGTGCTGCCTTCAGTCCAGGGCCTGATCCTGGAGACCCAGGATTGAGTCCCCCGTCAGGCTCCCTGTATGGAGCCTGCTTCTCCCTCTGCCTGTGTCTCTGCCTCTCTCTCTCTCTCTCTGTTTCTCATGAATAAATAAATAAAATATTTTTAAAAAGACTACTGGGGTGTAAGCAGAAGTTTTAGAATTTCTACTTATGTTATATCTCATCCTCAAAAACAAAGCCAAACCAAAACAACAAACAAGTAAACAAAAAACAACTGCAGATAATGAGACCTCTCTGGCAAGAGGTAAGCTGTCACCTGGACATGAGTGGAGACAGGGGACACCAAGAACACTTATCACAATTGGAACTGGAGGATTTTTCCCAACACAGTGAGGTGACCATTCCCGATTCAGTCTCTTGCCCGGAAGCTCCACTGTGACATTCAGCATACCATGTTGGCCTGGTGGCTTGCTTGTCAGCCTCTCCACTGGACTTTGAGGTCGGGTGGGGAAAGGCCTGTGTCTGGCTCATCTCAGGATGTAGGGTCCATGCATGAGGAAGGGAGAAGTGTTTTGGGGTCAGCGGCTCATTAGGTATCCTGGCTACCCTTCACCCTGGCTGCCTAACTGGAACGTTTGTCAACGTCAACCCCATCGTGGAACTGAGGCCCACAGAAGGTCTAAGAATGGCCCTGGGTATATACAGCCCATCCCTTGTAAGACTAGGACTAACCAAAGCCTCCTGCCAACTTGATTCAGTGCTAAGTCAGCCCTGTCCTGGCCCCCTCCATGATGCAGGTTGGAGGAATGGGGGATTCCATCCCCCTACTCCCCTCCCCCAGCAGGGCTGCAAGAGGCAAAGACAGGGAGATGTTCTGCACATGACCTTTTTTTTTTTTAGATATTATTTATTTATTCACGAGAGACACAGAAAGAGAGGCAGAGACACAGGCAGAGGGAGAAGCAGGCTCCCTCCCATGTGGGACTCAATCCTAGGACCCCAGGATCACAACAACCTAAGCCGAAGGCAAATGCTCAACCACTGAGCCACCCAGGTGTCCCTGTGCATGATCTTTATTTCTCATGCTTCTCTGACCCGACTGGGGGGTTTGGAGGTTCAGCTTGGGATTCAGTTTCTTCTTGCTGTTCCCCTTCAGCCCCGGGTTCTGCTGGGGGAGAGGAAGATTCCTTTTTTGGTTTTCCAAGGTAGGCTCCTAAACCTGACCCAAGAGAGGCCAGGAGGATTTTGGTTGACGTGCAGAGCCCAGCTGCCCCTGAAGAAGAGACAGAGGGTGAGCAGAGAAACATGCAGCGGCCAGTGGCCCCCCACCCCCGCTGGAGGTGTGAGGCCCAGACACCTGGATCCCTCCTCTAAGGTTCTGAAAACCCCCAGGGCTTGGCCTTGGGCAGAGGTCGCTGGAGGTGGCTGCCAAGTGAGGAAGTGAGAGGCAGAGGACAGTCAGCCACAGAGCCTGAGAGCGACAGGTCCCCTCACGTCACACAGGAAGCCACTGAGGCCCAGAGGGGAAGGGACCCTGCTCGTCCACCCAGGTGTCAGATCCCGGTAGGGCTGCACCCAGAGCCCTGGGCTCCTTCTCCCTCCTGGAGCTCCCTTATCCCTCCACTGCTATGGAACCTCACTCAGAAGGAGCCAGAGAGAGGACAGTGAGGGAGGCAAAGGGCCAAGAAGGAGGAGGATGTCGCAGGCCTGGGGGGAGAGGACAGGCCGTGCCTCGGGCTCGCCTCCGGCCTGAGTCAACTCCTGGCTCTGCTCCCACCCCTCCCATTGCCCCCTCCCCTCCTCCCCGTCCCCGTCCCCGTTCCCTCCCCGCTCCCCCTCCCTCCTCCCCCTCCCCCCTCCCCCCCAGCCCCCAACAAACCCACGGACTGCAGCGTGGCCACCAGGCTGCCGGCGGCGACTCCGCCCCCGTTGGCGACAGCGGCCGCGGACATCATCTTGGCCGCCAGCGAGGAGGCGGCGATTCCGGCGCCGGTGAAGCCCGCGGCGCCCAGGGTCACCGGCACCGCCGCCACCGCCACGACTGCGGGCACGCGGAGCTGGTCAGGGCGCGGCCGGGCCGGGGACCCCTCCGGGACCCCTGGGCGGTGTCGGGGCCCGTCTGCGCGGCGCGGAGGGGGTCCCGGGGCGGAGACAGAGGTGGGGGTGGGGGCGGGGTGGGGTGGGGGTGGGGTGGGGGTGGGCGAAGGGGTCACACGGGCCGAGGCGGGCCGGGTCTCTAACGTGGCTGTGCGACCCCGGGGGCGGGGGGCACTGGCCGCGCTGGGCCCCGTGTGCGTACGTGTAGGAGCTGAAGTACCCCAGTGCGGGGTTCCGCAGAAATCACCCCCTCCCTTCCCCGCCCCTCACCTCCCCGCCCCGCCCCGCCCCCGCCCCCATCAATGGAAATCTCCACCTGCGGGTTAGGTACGCGGCCCGGAGGGGCGCCCGCGCGGAGTCCGCTGCCCTCTGGGGCGCAGGGCTGCCACCCGGGCCTCCCTCCGTCCCCAAGGCGCACCCGGGCAGCCCCAGCCACGGCCGCGAGGCTCCAGGCCACTCACCTCCTCCCACTACAGCAAAGGCCGCCTGTTCTTGGGAGACGAAACCGGGGAGAGAGAGAGAACGCGTTAGCTGGGCAGGAGGGGGCGGGGGCGGGGAAGGAGCGAGGGGAGGCCTGCCGCCCTGGGGTCCCGGGGTCCCGGGGTCCCGGCGCCCCGGGGGGGGGACTCACTCATCATCGCGGAGACCCCCGCCTTCTCCCCGAGCAGCCCTGCAAACGCCTCAGCGGCACCGGGTGTTATTTCCTGGGCCAACCAATGGGGACACCTCCATCCCCACCCCGGGGCGGTCCTCCCCACCCGCCGCCCAGCTCCACCCACTTCTCGCGGCTCCTCCCCCCCTCGGCTGGCCTCCCTGCGCCGCGCTGGTGGCCCCCCTGCCTGGTGCCCCCACCCAAGAGAGAAGCTCCCTAAAGCATCTGAGCAACGGAAGAATTGTTTCCAGAAAAAAAAAAAAAACAAATGTAAAGAAACCACCCAATACAGATTACTGCTGCACAGCAAGGGTTTGAACTCTGGGGGTCCACTTTTTTTTTTTTTTGTGGTCTTTCTATGTTTTAGACATTTTTTTGATTAAAAAAATTTTTGAGTATAGTTGACACATATAGTGTTACATTAGTTTCTGTATGATCTCTTATATGTGAAATCTTTTTTTTAATAAATTGATTTTCATTGGTGTTCAATTTGCCAACATACAGAATAACACCCAGTGCTCATCCCGTCAAGTGCCCCCCTCAGTGCCCGTCACCCAGTCACCCCCACCCCCCGCCCTCCTCCCCTTCCACCACCCCTAGTTCGTTTCCCAGAGTTAGGAGTCTTTATGTTCTGTCTCCCTTTCTGATATTTCTCACACATTCCTTCTCTGGGGGTCCACTTTTGTACTGATTTTTTATAGTACAGTACTGTAAATATATTTTCTCTTATGATTTTTTTTAGACATCACATTCTTTTCTTTAGCTTATTTTATTGTAAGAATACAGTGTATAAAACATGTAACTCAAAAGATGTGTGAATTGACTTTATATGAGTGGTAAGGGAGAAGCAGGCTCCCCTTGGGCAGGGATTCCCCCCGCCCCATGCGGGACTGGGTCCCAGGACCCTGGAATCGTGACCTGAGCTGAAGGCAGATGCTTAACCGACTGAGCCACCTAGGCACCCCCCAGTTTTATTTTTAAAGTTAACAGAAGCTAATTATTTTCGGGTTTACTAGGCTTATGCAATCCTTATGTTATGAATTATCTTCGCACATTCCTGGTTTTTTTTTTTTTTTACATGGAGATGTTATTTTTTCCCTTACAATGTATAGGAACTATATATATATATATATTTCATTATATATATATATATATATATATATGTATCTCTTAATTCACTCTCTCAAATGTTGCAGAACTTTGTTTCGAGTTCAGCACCTTTTTGCTTTTCTTAACACAGAAAACTTTAATACCTATATAAATTTGTCAATATTTTACTTCTTTATTTTTGTCTTTGTTGCCTCAAAAGGTTGTTCCCGTTAGCTATCAGACATCCTCACTTGCATTTTCTTTGGGTTCTTCTGGGGCTTCACTTTTTAAAATTAACTTTTTATTCCATCTAGAATTCAGGTTGCTACATATACGGTGATTTGCATACCTATATATGTCCTGGTTCTTCCCGTGTCATTAATTAATCATCTTTCCTTTCCTCTTTGATTTGAAATTCTGTCTTTATATTCAAAATGTGCATACTGGCATATACACCAGTATAGGTGATTTGGAATTTCTCTTTTCTAATGAACTATCATTTCCTTTTGGCAACACAATCACACTGTTTCAATGTTTATAAATGTATGTTTGACTCCCATATTTTTGAGATAGAGATATTTTAGAGATAATATCTAAATTGGGCCTTAGTATTTCTATTTTTTGGATAAGCACATGCTACACGAGGGGATACAGTGAAAAGTCTCCCTTGCCTTGCCATTTGTCCCTGAACTACCCAGTTTCATCCTTGAAAGCAATCAGTGTTTCCAGTTTCTTATGTATCCTTCCAGAGATAACTTATGTTTATATAGTAATATATATGCCTTGTTTTTTTCCTTCCTTGATATGATATCACCTTTACACATTATTCTGTACTTTGCTGTTTTTCCTTTATCAGTGTGATAGTTCCTAATTTCTCTAAAGCAGCTATGTAGTTTCTATTGTATGGTTACACCATGATTCATTTAGTAAATTCTCTCTTGATTGACTTTTTAAAAAAATGTATGTTTGATTTAATATCTGCTCGTTTTGGTTGAGGTTTTAAAAATATTCTGACTCTTCCTATTAATTCTTCAGATGAACTTTAAAAATATTTTTTTCAATTTCAAAAAATAATCTTTCCTATTTTTATTGAAATTGAGCTAAGTTTTAAAATAAATATTCAGGAGAAAAGCTTTACAGAAACTATTTTTTACATCCAGGAACATGATAAATCTTTCCACTTATTCAAGTGGTTTTTTAAAAAAGTATTCCTTAATAAAATTTTATAGTTGTTTTTATATAAGGACTAGATATTTTTAAGTAAACTTTATTTTATTTTTTTTTTATTTTTTATTTATTTTTTTTTTTATTTTTATTGGTGTTCAATTTACCAACATACAGAATAACACTCAGTGCTCATCCCGTCAAGTGTACCCCTCAGTGCCCGTCACCCATTCACCCCCACCCCCCACCCTCCTCCCCCTCCACCACCCCTAGTTCATTTCCCAGAGTTAGAAGTCTTTATGTTCTGTCTCCCTTTCTGATATTTCTCACACATTTCTTCTCCCTTCCCTTATATTCCCTTTCGCTATTATTCATATTCCCCAAATGAATGAGAACATACACTGTTTGTCCTTCTCCGGTTACTGTGGCCAAGTTAAAAAAGGGTGTTGCCTGAGTTCTTCTCTGGGATTTTGATGGAATCTTGTCTCACATTTAGATCTTTCATCCATTTTGAGTTTATCTTTGTGTATGGTGCAAGAGAGTGGTCCAGTTTCATTCTTCTGCATGTGGATGTCCAATTTTCCCAGCACCATTTATTGACGAGACTGTCTTTCTTCTAGTGGATCGTCTTTCCTCCTTTATCGTATATGAGTTGAGCATAAAGTTCAGGGTCCACTTCTGGGTTCTCTGTTCTGTTCCATTGATCTATATGTCTGTTTTTGTGCCAGTACCACACTGTCTTGATGAACACAGCTTTGTAGTACAACCTGAAATCTGGCATTGTGATGCCCCCAGATATGGTTTTCTTTTTTTAAAATTCCCCTGGCTGTTTGGGGTCTTTTCTGATTCCACACAAATCTTAAAATAATTTGTTCTAAGTCTCTGAAGAAAGTCCATGGTATTTTGATAGGGATTGCATTAAACGTGTAAATTGCCCTGGGTAACATTGACATTTTCACAATATTAATTCTGCCAATCCATGAGCATGGAGTATTTTTCCATCTCTTTGTGTCTTCCTCAATTTCTTTCAGAAGTGTTCTGTAGTTTTTAGGGTATATTTTGAGAACCATTTGAATGGTAAATGGTTCTCCAACCTTTTATTTTCAGGTTGTAGGTGTCCTTCTGTCTAAAATGAGTCTCTTGTAGACAGCAAATAGATGGGTCCTGTTTTTTTATCCAGTCTGAAACTCTGCGCCTTTTGATGGGGTCATTAAGCCCATTCACGTTCAGAGTTACTCGAACTTCTTCTTAAAGGGGAGTTTTAAGAGTCCCCCTTAAAATTTCTTGCAGAGCTGGTTTGGAGGTCACATATTCTTTCAGTTCCTGCCTGTCTTGGAAGCTCTTTATCTCTCCTTCCATTTTGAATGAGAGCCTTGCTGGATAAAGTATTCTTGGTTGCATGTTCTTCTCATTTAGGACCCTGAATATATCCTGCCAGCCCTTTCTGGCCTGCCAGGTCTCTGTGGAGAGGTCTGCTGTTACCCTAATATTCCTCCCCATGAAAGTCAGGGACTTCTTGTCTCTTGCTGCTTTAAGGATCTTCTCTTTATCTTTGGAATTTGCAAGCTTCACTATTAGATGTCGAGGTGTTGAACGGTTTTTATTGATTTTAGGGGGGGATCTCTCTATTTCCTGGATCTGAATGCCTGTTTCCCTTCCCAGATTGGGAAAGTTTTCAGCTAGGATTTGTTCAAATACATATTCTGGCCCTCTGTCCCTTTCGGCGCCCTCGGGAACCCCAATTAAACGTAGGTTTTTCTTCCTTAGACTGTCATTTATTTGCCTTAATCTGTCTTCATGGTCCCTTAATTGATTGTCTCTTTTTTCCTCAGTTTCCCTCTTTGCCATTAACTTGTCTTCTATGTCACTCACTCGTTCTTCCACCTCGTTAACCCTCGTCGTTAGGACTTCTAGTTTGGATTGCATCTCATTCAATTGATTTTTAATTTCTGCCTGATTGGATCTAAATTCTGCAGTCATGAAGTCTCGTGAGGCCTTAATGCTTTTTTCTAGAGCCACCAGTAGCTGTATAATGGTGCTTCTGAATTGGCTTTCTGACATTGAAGTGTAATCCAGATTTTGTAACTCTGTGGGAAAGAGGGCTGTTTCTGATTCTTTCTTTTGAAGTGAGGTTTTCCTTCTAGTCATTTTGCTCAGTGCAGAGTGGCCAAAAACAAGTTGTATTGGAACACGGGGGAGTATCACTGGTCCCTCTAGCTGGTCTTCTGGGGGAGGGGCCTGCTGTGCTGATTTTCAGGTGTTAGCACTTGGGGGAGCTGCTCTGCCCCTGCCTGCTGCAGGGCTCAGCGGGGGTTGTTTACCCCGTCGGGCCCCAGGAGGAACAGCCCCAGTGGCTATGGCAGCTCTGGAAGCCTGGATTCGGCCTCCGCAGGAACTACGGGGCTCGGGGCTCTCTGCTCTCCGTCCGCAGGGCCTGGAGGCTCCGGGGCGGGGCCGCTGATCTGCTCAGCTCGGGGCAGGAGCGTCCTTGCTGTCCTGGGCCCTCCCGGCCTCTGCCTGTCCCGGGGGAGGCCGGATCCTGGGCTGTGTCCCGGCGCCCTGTGCTCCGGGGCCTGCGCTGTTGGATTCGCGCTCCCGCCCTGCAGCCCGCTCCGCGGAGCCGCCGCCCGAGCCCCTCCGTGCTGCTCCTGCTCCGGTTGGTCCCGCCGTGCGCGCTGCAGCCCTTAGGGAGCTCGGCGCACTCTCCTGCGCTCGCAGGTGTCTGTTAGTGTCCCCGGGAGCCCGAGGGCATCCCCGCCCTCCTGGGTCCTGCTCCAACTCCCTGCGAGCCCCTTTCCGCCCGCCCGGGAAGGTTGGTGCAGCT